AGTTTTATCACAGCTGGTGTGTGCCTTAATGCCGAGCAAATGGACAATTAAGGAAAATGAAAAACAGACACAAAAGCCTACTGTAAACTCCGTTATCAGCCGAGTGAAGTGTATCAGGGGAGTAAAAGAAATGCCATGGCATCTATTTTTTTTGTAGCAGTCTAAAAACAAAAGCATAAGTATATATACATATATATATATATATATGGCCAATGGTCTATTCATTTGTCTCTCAAAATTTAATACATTTGAAAACCTCATCTAGTTCCATAACAGTTGGATCTGAATCTGAATCAGAGTCTGACTTAAATTCAACATTTTTCCCATAATCACTAACCAAACTTTCCAATTCTTGTATATCTTGATGATTTTTAAATAATCGATAGTCTTTATTGAAAAAGAATAAAATCAATAATGATTTCTTTAATTGGTTTAATCGATAATTATCTGAGCCTAAATCTAAATTGAATAAAAATATGGCAAATATCATAATTTTTGTCAGTTCATATTCATTTAAGTGTCCATATCCTGTACCTATTCCTGGGATGATTAGATTGTCAATTTGATGTACACTTTTGGCATTTACATCTTCTCCTCCTTCTCTTTTCCCATTATACTGTCGTACGTGTGATAACAAACTCCACATTGAATCAAACAAGTGACTTACTGAATGGATCTTTTCTGGAACTACCATTGTGGGTATTTGAATTATCTGAGACACTCGTAAGTTCTGGTACATTAATGAGTCGCGATAATTATACCCTCGATAAACTGGCAATTGCAATAGGTTAGTCATGTAGATATGATTAGGAATCAAGTATCCATTGCCTTCTTGCAATTTACTCTCTTGAATTAAATGCTCAACTGTCTTGTAATCAGTTGTATTTGTACCTAGTAGCATGCTTTGGAGTAGATATTTGTCATACCCTCCACCCATATAACTTAATGAGTTGGTGGGGGTAACAGTAGATGTATTACCTGTAAGTGTTTGATTGAAGACAAAGTCTTCAATGTTACCTCCATAAAATTCAAATTCATTAGGATTAGAGGGTGTTGTTGTTGTTGTTGTTGCTTCTGCTGCTGCTGCTGAAGTCGATGCAGTTATTGGTTTGAGTGATAAGTTATAATGGTGGACGATTTTGAGACAGGTTTGGTAATGGTGTTTCCAACATTGGATTATTAATTGGTTGGAATCTAGTAAAATAAACTTCATTCTATAATATTTTAAAGGAAAAGGAAGCGAAAGAGCGTTTCTATGGGTAATGTAATGGGTTATGTCTTTATGTTTGTCTTTCTGTCTTTTTGATTGCAAGATGAATCGATTTTCTTTCTTTTTTCAGTTTTGCGCGTCTTTGCGCATTTTGCTTTCTTGCTACTGCACGTGATCTCAAGGCAAGTTCCATTTTGCAATCTTTTGATTGTAGAGTACTACAACAATCCAGGAATAAGTGGGAGTTAGAGGTTTTGTAATCACCACTTTCTAGTGATTGCAGTGTATGTTTTGGTTACATTAAAAGGTCATCTAATGTCTGCTAATAAATGTTTAGTATATTAGTTTTGGTTGTTGATGTAGAAATGATGCTAAAAAAAAAGAAATAAACTGTTTCATTTTACTTACTTTTGTTAAAAGGTTTGTCAGGCCAACAGGTAATCTAACCACAATGGACTCTAAGTATTTTGAAAGTTTCAGTTATAGTAACTAAAGTATTCCAATGTTGTTGTAACTACAAAGTGAGAAGATTGTCTTTCGAGAGAAAATTATAACTGTGGTAGCAGTAGTGTGGTTGTCGGAGTTTTTATTTATGCGACAGACAGACAGACAGACTAACAGAGAATGTTGTTGTTCTTTTAATTTCTTTTTAAATCCCTCCCGCACGCTTAGAAATGCATGATGCAATATGATATGATCTTTGACCACGTTGCCCCTCTATCCCCTACAAACGAGTTTAGTCACAGCAATAAGAAATATCTTAAGATTTGGGAGCCAATCAGTGTATCTAATGAATAAACTCTGATTGGCTGCTACATTATAACCCACTTACTTTGCCTCAAGTTATGAAAATAACCTGATTCCCCAAAAGTACGACTTTTTGCTCAAAGTTGAAAGAGATTGGTTCTTACTTTTCTATAAAGTGGAGTGACATAAAAACCATTTTAAAAAATGAAAAGTTGTTGGGTTTGGACATTAGTTGGTATACAATTGCCTTAAAACCACTGCATACGGACCACACACAAACATATACATACATACATACATATATATATGTATATATATATGTATATAGCTATAACGCTCTGTGTGTATCGTCGTCTCTATAAAAAAAATAAAATACGATTAGAGATTTTGTAACCCACCCACTTACATATGTTTGCTGTGATTTCAGATCTTCTTCTATGTAAAACGATTTGCTAATAGAATTGACGTCCCCTCTGCAAAGAGAGGAGAAGATCAGATTTTGTCTATCGTTCTACTAAATGTTACATTATTTCTGTTAGAAGAGGAGGGGTAAGAGGATATATATATATATATATATATGTATGCATTTATGTATGTGAGAGCTGTTAGAAATTGAATGATTATAAAAAAAAAAGGTAGAAATGTCGTATGGAAAGAGAAAAGGAGCGACATCTATAAAAAAAATAAACCCCCAACCAATTAAATAAAAATATTATTATTATTGGACAGAAGAAAGCAACGTGTGTTGGGTAAGACATTTTAAATATTAGTCTAATACGACATTTTATATGTACAAACATCCCAAATAGGCAATACATACACAAAAATCAATAACACAACACACCCACAGTTTTTTTTTTTTCTTTCTTCTTCTTTTTTTATTAAACGCCAAAGCAAAACCAAAATAAAACAAAACCCACAAATAATCAAAAAACCTCCTCAATTTTAAAACTTTTCTTTCTTTTCTTCTTCTTCTTCTTCTTCTTCTTCTTCTTCTTCTTTCTTCTACATCAACAATCAATTGATTCTATACTTCTTCTTGCATAAAGATCTTTTTTTGTTTTTATTAAATTCACAATGGCTCCAGCTGCTTACTCCGATTTAACCAAAGCTTCCAACGATTTGTTGAACAAGGACTTTTACCACTTGTCAACTGCTGCTGTTGATGTTAAAACAGTTGCTCCAAATGGTGTTGCTTTCACCGTTAAAGGTAAGACTGCCAAAGACGACACAATTGCTGCTTCTGTTGACGCTAAACACGTTGACAAGGCTACTGGTTTAACCTTAACTCAAGGTTGGAACAATGCCAATGTCTTGTCCACCAAGATTGAATTGTCCGAATTGTTAACTCCTGGTTTGAAGGGAGAATTGGACACCTCAATTGTTCCAAATGGCCAAAGAAATGCTAAATTGAACTTTTTCTACCAACAATCAGCCGTCAATGCTAGATTATTCTTTGACTTGTTGAAAGGTCCAATTGCTACTGCTGATTTGGCTGTTGCTCACGATGGTTTCACTGCTGGTGCCGAATTGGGTTACGATATCTCCAGTGCCAAGGTCAACAAGTACTCTGTTGGTGTTGGTTACTCCACCTTGACTTACAACTTGGCTGCTACTGCCACCTCAAACTTGTCAGTTTTCTCAGCTGCTTACTACCACAGAGTTTCACCATTGGTTGAAGTTGGTGCCAAGACCACTTGGGATTCAGTCAAGTCATCAAACGTCAATGTGGAATTTGCTACTAAATACGCTTTGGATAAATCTGCTTTCATCAAAGCCAAGATTGCTGACTCTGGTTTGACTGCTTTGTCTTACACTCAAGAATTGAGACCAGGTGTTAAGTTGGGTTTGGGTGCTTCTTTCGATGCTTTGAAATTGGCTGAACCAGTTCATAAATTGGGTTTCTCTTTGTCATTCGCTGCTTAAGGATACCTCAAAACACGCCTAACCATACCAGATCCTATATAAAAACCCTAGAAGAGTCTACATTTTATTAGCTTTTTTTTCATTTCTTTTTTTTTTTTTTTTTTTTTTTGAACATATTCTACAGTTTATATTAGATTTTAGAAAGAAAGAAACTTTTCTTCAATTTTCAGATTGTTTGGATTATGGGAAACTGCAAAATCTTCTTTGTCTTTGTTTGATGTTTTTAACTCTCTTGGTTGATAGTGAAAGATGGGGAGTATACAAAGGAATTGTTAATGAACTGCGCTCTGTAGATAGAGTGCGAGTGGAACCGATGTCAGATGAATGGGAAAAATTATTTCAGAAAACAAAAGCTTATACTTTTCTACAAGCCATATCTACCTCAGGTAACATGTCTAAAGAAGCAACACCAGGCACTCTAGATAATGGAAAATCACCATCTGTTTCTGCTTCTGCTTCTACTTCAGTAACTCAAATATCGAGACCATTCTTTACATTGCAAGAAATATCGTATTTACATAGCCAAACTATACCATCAGCACTAAAACTACAATATGCCACTACTAAGCAACAGATTTACCAATTCCTAAACCAGGTTGTTAAATTATTGAAATTCCCAATACGAGTCTTGGCAACAACAATGAACTACTACCAGCGATTTTACTTGTTTAATAAATTTGAAGTTGCAACACTGGCGATGCAAATTGAAAATTCACCATACACGATTGCCATGACTTGTTTGTTCTTGGCCAGCAAAGTTGAAGATTGTATCAAGAAATTAAAAGATATCCAACAAGTTTGTAATAAATTGAGAGATATTAATGAAAATACCTTGGTTGAAAGTAATGGGTCGGGTTTTCCATTTATTGACTTACAACGCAAAATAATTTTGAGTACCGAGTTTAAATTATTGCAGATCACTAAATTTGATTTCAATCTAGGGAATAATCCAAGTTTTGCTATTAATGTTGATGACTTACTTATTCAATTTTGCAAAAATTTAGCCATAAATTACAAAATATCCATGCTTAGTTGGTTGATCAATTATGATATCATCCAAACGCCTTTAAGTTTAGTGGTGCCGCCGCATTGTATTGCATTGGCGATTATAATCATCAGTTTAAACTTAAACCCAGCGGAAATGAATTTGCAACATCATGAAATTGGGGAGAATGATGAACAAGAAGTGGTCAAGATTAAGAAAATTTTAAGTGGATTGGACTGTAGTGACTTTCAATGCCCCGAAGTATTGGTAAATGAGGCCATACTATACATTTTAGATTATTATACTCACCAGTATGATAACAGTGTCTTGCAAAATTATTTACCGCCAATTGATCAAGTTACCGGAAAGAATCAAATTTTTAAGTTCCTAGATTTGAAGCAGAAATTTAATGATGTTGAGATATTGAATGAAAGGAGTTGTAATTTCAAATTGAATGAAAAAGATGGATACTTGAAAAATTGGGATTATGGAATAGCTACAAAAGGGTTGGTGAGATTCATGTTGAGTAACAAGAGATCAAGATTTAATAATGAACAAGAAACAAAAGAAAGTATTGAACAAGAGGAGAAAAGACAAAGGATCGCTGAATATGAAAAGCTTAGTCAAAGAGCCAGTGGCGAGTAATATTGTACTGAGGCTGCGCTGATAGAGACGTATATAAATGTCTTATATATATATATCACTGGGTATCACCTCCCTATTCAAACTTGTAACTAACTGAAGTCTTTACCGTATGCTTATCCGTGCTAAAGCTTGCAAAATCTATGTCATCAACGTTTTCGCCTTCCAATATCCTACCATCACCATTGGTGTCGCACCATTGTATAGGTACGTTGGTGTCTTTATCAGTATACACCAACACATTGAAGGTGTGTTCGTCATCTTTTAAAATGGGCAAATAACTCACTGACGAAGTTATCTGACGTATTATTGCTCTTATTTCCTTTTGTATATCATTCTTGCTCTTCTTCTCTCCTTGTTCACCGTTTTCGGTAGGTCCATTGTTGTTGTTGTCCCTGTCATCATCATCTTTTGTTTCAATATTGAATTCCCATCGTTCTATACTTTCACCAGTGCTAGTGGATACAATAACCACAATTAACTTAGTAATCTTTTTACCATATATCCACTTTTTCAACTGCTGCATAATGTTGCTGATGTAGTTTTTAACATCGTCGTCATTGTTGATAACCATGGGCAAATCGTATTTTCGTACTGTGATGAAATCTTCGGCGGGGTATATACCTCGTTGGAAAAGGATGCTATTGATGGCGAATTCAAAATAATCAGAGACTATCTTGGATGAACCTTTTAACGCTAGTTTAGATGCTGACATCGAGGAGTATGTATATGGTGTATGAGTGTGTTCAAGAGTGAAGTCTGTTTGTCCTCTGAAAAAAAAGGTAAACAAAAGATCAAAAATCTTTTTCGGAAGATTCTGGTTAAATCAATCAATAATAATCACATCCACACTAGCAAGACAACAATGGTACGTTATAGGAACATCACCAAAGTGGCCCATGTCTATACATATATACTAACTCCCCTTCCTCTGCAGCAACACGAAGTCAAACGGATACATCTCAATGAATCTCAAAAACATCAGAAATACATTAAAGATGAACCTAAAATCAACCATTATCGTGACTTGACCTCTTATATCTTCCAACTACGCGATTTACAAACATACAACGATGAGAGCTTCAATGCCACGACAACATTACTCCAATTAAATCCTGAATTCTACACCGTTTGGAACTATCGTCGAGAAATCATTGAAAATGCTTATGCATCAAACGCCACTGAGTTGGTTCAAGTGTTAAATGATGAATTGAAATTCATCATGGCTCAATTACGCAAATTTCCCAAAGTTTATTGGCTTTGGAATCATCGAAGATGGTGCTTGTTCAAATTGGTTGATGTGAATCAAGTGAATTGGGACTTTGAATTCAAAACCGTGGGTAAAATGTTGGAATTGGACCAACGAAATTTTCATGGATGGCAGTATCGAAGATTTGTTGTTGAGAATTTAGAATTGGAGAAATCTGCAAGTAGAAACGGAGACAGTACTGAGGCCATCTTGCGATTGAATCTTGATGAATTTGATTATACAACTGCTAAGATCCTGGTTGATTTTCTGAATTTTTCAGCGTGGCATAATCGGACCAAATTAATACCCAAGATTTATGATCTTATAAGTAAGAACCCATCTTCAACAACCATTGATCATCCGTCGTTGCACCTTTTCCAAAACCCCTTGAGTGTACTAAACCACGATTTAGAATTGATCAAAACTGGTATCTACATGAGTCCTGAAGATAATTCGGTGTGGTCATATTTGTACTGGCTTTTATCGGATAAGTTCTTCATCAATGCGTTTGATTCAACCGGTAGTGGGAGCGGTGGTGATGACGACAGACAAGGTTATAAGCAGTTGCTCCAAGAACAAATTGATTTGATTCATGAGATCAATCAGTTGGAAAAGGAAGATACGGGTCAGGAAAATGTCGGATGCTTGAAGGCATTGTTAAAGATTTCTGAGTTGAAGGAAAGAGAGGATGTCAATAAGGAAGAAATGAGGGGTATTTTGCAGAAATTGATTAGACTTGACGAGTTGAGGAAAGGCAGGTATGAAGATAACTTGCGCCGATATGAATAGAGAATTGGTTTTTTTCTATTTTTTTCATGGGATTGATGAGAATGTACCAGAATTTAAAGAGTAACTTTAAACTTGCTTTAGTCAGTTAATGGCTAGATGAAGATTTCAGTGGTGGAGGGGTGTACCAAATCCATAATGAATAATGACACGATTCTGTTTCAAATACATTAACAAGGCGTATATACATTTGAACAAGAGAAAAGCCTTCACAGTGATGTGTGACAAATGCAATCACGAACATCACTGTTTCAGATGTATTTGCAAACCTTAATGCCATATAGATAACTTGTTTCAAGATTAGAGTGTTATTCAATACTATAGCTTGGAAGATTTCATGTGAGACCACGCAGAATAATCTGATACTGCATTAAACGAGGTGATTGATTTACTTTGCATGTGATTGGTGTTTCAAAATATTGTACAAACGGGGGCCGCTGTTGATTCATCTGGGTCTACATCACTCCCATTTTATTTGTGGAAACGTGCTTCCTAGTGCAAGGTCATTAGTTTACCTTACTGCAGTAAGTGATCCAATCCAATTGAATATGCTTCAGACACAATGCGAACACTGTAACATGGTATCAAGCCAGCTCAATCAATAAGCAACGGGGGCTACGCTATGAAGCCTAGAACGACTTACCTACTTTGGTGAAAAAATTGTTAGTCCCGGCATGTCAGAAATTGCCAGAAATTAACTTTGTTTCATCTGTGCATTTTTCTTTAACGTTTCATAATCTCAAAAATTTCCAGTAAAATAAAATTTACAGTGAAGGGGTCGGTTATTATACGACTGGATTTTTCATTTTTGAAACATAGGAGAGAGAGACAGTTTCAAGTTTATGTAAAACAGAAAGACCTATTTCGATGTATCGAGAGTTTAGCCGAAAGCTTATCAGGGTTGGGCAACTCGATAAGACAACGTGTGCAATACGTATCAAGTTGAATTCTATCGCTTTGGTGTAGATTACATAGCTATCATTCCTTCGACTAGCATATTTCGTTTAGCTACAGCAATACACGCAAGTACTTGAAATGGTTGCCAGTTTGGTATCGTCCAAAAGAATTCTAAGCAATCGTAGACCCCTGTCTATAGCCCCCTATTACCCCTGCATAGTCACTGATACGAGAGTGAATAGTCACTATCCATCATCAGTTTCGAATTATTTTCCCTTTTCTGTTGAAAAAGGTGCCACTACAGAAATCCCATGGAACCAAAAAAGGGAAACCTACTTACTCCCCTTTCGTTGACTGACCCCTTGCCATGTTAAAAATTGTATCAAGTTTTTTTTTTATTTTATTCTTGTTTTTTTTTCTTCTACTGCTCCCCCGTGGAATATGGCTTACTTGTAATAAACATATGCCTTGTTAAATTTCATCTCTTTATGAAAAGTTTTTGAATATCTGTTTGAATAGATTTCCCTTTTTGGCTGCAAAAGGGATTCTTTTGAACGCCTTTTGAATTTCTTTTTTCCCTTTTTCGCAGCTACTTTTGATACACACGCATAGAGAAAAATCGATAGCCTGCTTTTACACCCATCAATGTGCTACTACTCTACTAATCAAGTTTCAACCACTGAAGGTTCAGAAACATCTCTGATTTTAGATTATAAATATGGGTCCAATGTTCCCGCTGTTGGCAAATTTTTCATAATTATATCTTACGATCATCAAGATAAAGACTGTTTTACCATACAAAGTCAAATTAACTAACTAACTAACAAACAAATAAACAAACTGAAATGAGATTTTCAATCGCTGTTCTCACTACACTTGCCGCTGTTTTGGTTGCTTCTGCTCCAGTCACTTCAACTGAATCAGAAGCTCCTGCTCTTCCAGTTGATAACGTCCTTGAACGTGTTGCCGAGGCTTTCTTTGATAGTTCAGGAATTGATGCGGAGGTTGAACAGACCCCTGGTGCTAGGGAAGTTATTGGAGAACAAAAGAGAGATGCAGAAGCCAAACCTCACTGGACTACTTATGGTTACTACGAACCTCAAAAGAGAGATGCAGAAGCCAAACCTCACTGGACTACTTATGGTTACTACGAACCACAAAAGTAAACCCAAAACTACTGCGAAAATTATTTCTTCATAGATAAGGGACCTCGTTGTGACTCGGAGTTCTCATTTCAAGAAGTCAAACCCTTTTTATTGTTTTTTTATCCTAGTCAAGGTTATTTGCTATATTACCTAGTTTTTATATATTTTGATGATTTCTTCTATTCAATAAATTGTTTTTCTAAAAAGTATATTGTAAATTGAAATACTGATACAAGCGCACCTTACTTTGCTTCTAAAGAGCATCACCTAGCGATTGGTCGATCTGTATAGGGTGATTGCAAAAAGAATTTGCTATGAGATCACGTGCGACTTTCAAATTGTATTAAATTTTGAGAGACAAATGAATAGACCGCTGGCCATATATATATATATATGTATATATACTTATGCTTTTGTTTTTAGACTGCTACAAAAAAAATAGATGCCATGGCATTTCTTTTACTTCCCTGGTACACTTCACTCGGCTGATAACGGAGTTTACAGTAGGCTTTTGTGTCTGCNGTTTTTCATTTTCCTTAATTGTCCATTTGCTCGGCATTAAGGCACACACCAGCTGTGATAAAACTGGAGTAACGAGTGATGACAATCGTTAAGAAACAAAAGAGCTTTCTCGACTTCAATTCACGTTACCAGATGATAGTTACCAGATGATATATAGATAAACACAAGATTGAATACTGACACAATCAAGAGAAAATAAATAAATAAAGCGATTGAAGTAAACCACATTTATACTCTTCTCTTTTGGGGTTCTCAAGTCAAAAGCAAAAAAAAAAAAACTATCAATTATTATAATTTCAGTTTGAAGAAAGCACAGATATCAGATTTAACAACTATCATTACCATTAACTCATCACTACACCACAGCAACACACAGATGACCATTGTTCCGTCATTCACCCTCGGGTTCATCCGCTGCAGGGAAAACAATAAAGTCCTCATGCTCAATCGCAACAAAGCCCCATGGATGGGTAAATGGAATGGTGTTGGCGGTAAGATCAACCCCAATGAAACCCCCTTGGACTGTATCATTCGCGAAGCACAAGAAGAGACGGGGTTAATGTTGTCCCAATTCCAACCTCGGGGCATTTTGACCTGGGAAATATACACCAAGGAATCTGCCCCCGACAACAGCAACAAGAGCAAGAATGGCACGCTTGCTGAACGAGCGTTGAGACATGCCAATTTAGCCAGCACTGGTGGGCTATATATATTCACCGCCGATATCACGTTGCAACAGTTTGAGAATTATCGCACGCCATTGATTTACGACGATGAAGGAATCTTGTGCTGGAAAGACTTGGAATGGATTACATTTGAGTTTAATTTAGGAGTGGTTGATAATATACGAGCTAATCTATCGCAGATGTTTGAGTCTAATGAAGA